TAGTTTTGATAATAATAGTAGTAGTAGTAGTGATAATGGTGATAATATCATTGACAATAGGGTGCATTCTTGTGACAAAATAACAATAATATTGATAATTATGACGATGATAATAATAGCAATAATAGTAATGGTGACAATGATAAGAAAACAAACAATAACAGTAATAAATAATGATATTCATAATGATAATAACAATGAAAACAATAATAAAAATGAAAATGATAATCACAAATAATAATAGTGATAATCCTAATGATAAAGACACCATGATTTGAAATCTTGACCAGAAAACTTTATTTTTCATGGCGTAGAGAAACAAGGCTGCGTAATGGAAATTGGAAATAAAACGTATGGCATCATCTATTTTCGCTTTGCTTGATTAAGTTAATTCCTTCAGACTTAATTTTCCGAGTCGAGTCTCCAATTGCCGGCGAAGTTCAGCGCCCTCGCCATATCTAACCCAAACCCTCTCCTGTTATTCGTCTTTGGAAGCGACAGAAGCGAGAAGGAAGTGCACAAACGAATCTCTGATTTTGCTTTTTGTACATTGAACTGAGAGTGCAGCAAGTGTACATCGTGACCAGCGTTCTCGTAGACGGGAGACCCTCGCATCCACGAAGTCGAATCATAGAAAACGGATGGAGCAACACCGGGACAGAGCCTGGAGTGGGTGTCTAACCGATCTGAAGGAGCACCCGACGGGTAGTTGGCGCTGAGGCGGAGACAAGAAAGGAGGGGCCTGTGGCAGCTTCAGCAGCGGTGGAGATGGAGGCTGGTGGGCGTGGTGGAAAGGATGGAGGTGGAAGAGATGTGGACAAGTGGTTACGAGAGCCAGCCTTGCAGAGGGAGAGATTGCCTTGCTCGTCGGCGGCGTCCCAGATTGCAGATTTTGAAGTGACACATAACTGCGGGAAGAAAGCAAGCATATTTAGACATTGGAATATGGGTTCTGGTGAATGCCCAGAGTCTATAATCAACATGTACGTGGGGAAAAGAGGGAGAAAATAACACAAAACCACAACACACAAAGTGACACCGTATTTTCCTCCTTTAGCTTCACATTTAACCCTGCATTTGCTCACAGGGAAAGAATCTAAAGGCTTTTTGACCCGAGCGTTTGACCTTGTTTCTTCCGGCGACTGTCTCGTGCTCGCAAACGCACCGAGAGACGCCACACTCAACAGGGTTCACACGTCTATGTGTATTACTTATCTACTGACATCTGTCTATCTGTTCTAGGGATGTCCAGTCGATCAAGAGCTGGTGTTCAGTCGATCAAGAGCTGGTGTCATTCAGCTGGTGTTCACGATCAAGAGCTGGTGTTCAGTCGATCAAGAGCTGTGTTCGTCGATCAAGAGCTGGTGTTTCAGTCGATCGAAAGAGTGTTCAGCGATCAAGAGCTGGTGTTCAGTCGATCAACGAGCTGGTGTTCAGTCGACAAGGAGCTGGTGTTCAGTCGATCAAGAGCTGGTGTTCAGTCGATCAAGAGCTGGTGTTCAGTCGATCAAGAGCTGGTGTTCAGTCGATCAAGAGCTGGTGTTCAGTCGACCAAGAGCTGGTGTTCAGTCGATCAAGAGCTGGTGTTCAGTCGATCAAGAGCTGGTGTTCAGTCGATCAAGAGCTGGTGTTCAGTCGATCAAGAAGCTGGTGTTCAGTCGATCAAGGAGCTGGTGTTTCAAGAGTCGATCAAGAGCGGTGTTAGTCGATCAAGAGCTGGTGTTCAGTCGATCAAGAGCTGGTGTTCATCGAAAGAGCTTTGGTGTTCAGTCGATCAAGAGCTGGTGTTCAGATCCGATCAAGAGCTGGGTCGATCCCCAAGAGGTTCGATCAAGAGCTGGTGTTCATTCGATGCGTCATCAAGAGAGCTGGTGTCAGTCAAGAGCTGGTGTTCAGTCATCAAGAGCTGGTGTTCAGTCGAAGAGCTGGTGTTCAGTCGATCAAAGAGTGCTCAAGTGCTGGTGTTCAAGTCGACCAAGAGCTGGTGTTCAGTCGATCAAGAGCTGGTGTTCAGTCGATCAAGAGCTGGTGTTCAGTCGATCAAGAGCTGGTGTTCAGTCGATCAAGAGCTGGTGTTCAGTCGATCAAGAGCTGGTGTTCAGTCGATCAAGAGCTGGGTCAGTCGATCAAGCAGCTGGTTTTCAGATCTGGTGCCGGACAAGAGCTGGTGTTGTCGATCAAGAAGTCGATCAGAGCTGGTGTTCAGTCGATCAAGAGCTGGTGGTTCAGTCAAAGCAGCTGGTGTTGTCGATAGCTGTGTTCAGTCGATCAAAGAGCTGGTGTTCAGTCGACAGGAGCGTGGTGTCAGGATCGCACAAAGAGCTGGTGTTCAGTCGACCAAGAGCTGGTGTTCAGTCGATCAAGAGCTGGTGTTCAGTCGATCAAGAGCTGGTGTTCAGTCGATCAGAAGCTGGTGTTCAGCGATCAAGAGCTGTGTTCAGTCGATCAAGCAGCTGTGTTCAGTCGATCAAGAGCGGTGTTCGAGTAAGATAAGAGCTGTGTTCCAGTTCGGATCAGCTGGTGTTCGCAAGATCAGATCTTGATCACAGAAGGCTGGTGTTCAGTCGATCAGGAAGTCGATCAAGAGCTGGTGTTGTCGATCAGAGTCAAGAGCTGGTGTTCAGCCGATCGAGCTGGGTGTTTCGATAGCGTTCAGTCGATCAAGGAGCTGGTGTTCAATCGATAGCTGGTGTTCAGAGCTGGTGTTCAGTCGATCAAGAGCGTAGTGGTGTTCAGTGTCGATCGTACAGCCTTGTTAACGGGTGAGCATACATGTCCCCGTATGAGTTGGTCCAGCGCCCTCAGTTATATTTCACAACACGGGGTTTCGCCTGTTGTCTTTTTTGTTTGTTGTTTGTTGTTGGTTTTTGGTCCTCTCGTGCCTCAAACCAATACCACACTATTAAGATCTTATAGAATTGAATTTCTCTCTCCCACTCTCCTTCTGGCTTCGAATCAGACCAGAATGAAAGGGTCGTCTTTTTGAAATGATGAATAAGAAAGTTTTTTTTTTCTTCCTATTTCCACATCCAAGAATTAAAAATGGAAAAAAAGCTCTTTTCTCCCTCCTTCTGCTTCGTCTTTATTCATATTTCCTTTTCTTGGTTATTTACCTGATTGTATTTTACTACAGTTATTCTTGGTTATTTACCTGATGTTATTTTACAACAGTTATTCACAACCGGAAGACGTCGAGAGTGGGTTGGCTCTCGCTGCCTAGTCTCTCTTCAAAGTTATTTCTGTTCTTGGTTCTGTACCTGATACTTGCAATGATGCAGCCTCGCTCTTTGGTTGAGTTCTCCGCTGATTTTTCTTGCCCTGAATGCTGATCGACGTAGCGCACTCACAGCAACCCGCACTCATATAGTCGTACAAACACACACGTACGCACACTAACATGTACTCACACGCACACATAGAATCCTAATCATTATTTATTTATTTTTATTTATTATTATTATTATTTTTTTTTTTTTTTGGGGGGGGGTTGGGTGGATTAATCGATTATCCACAGTGATTATTCTTGTAATTCAGTTATCAGAAATTGTGGCACTAGGAGAAAATATAGGAAACCTGTAAGAAAGCAACCCAAGACATCCAAAAATTAAGTGGGAACTTCACTCTCTCTTTCATGCCCAATATTCTGCTACGTCTATAAGTTATCCATGAAAAACAGTTTGATTAAATGGAAACAAATCATTATAAAAGCTTAATTAAATGTAAACATTTTACATCATCTTTCTGCCATCCCTCCACCATCCTTCCACCATTCTGCCATTCTTACTTCTTCCATTCATTTTACATCATCTTTCTGCCATCCCTCCACCATCCTTTCACCATTCTGCCATTCTTACTTCTCCCATTCATTTTACATCGTCTTTCTGCCATCCCTCCACCATCCTTCCACCATTCTGCCATTCTTACTTCTCCCCATCGTCTTTCTGCCATCCCTTCCTTCACCATTCTTACTTCTTCCATTCATTTTACATCATCTGCCATCCCTCCACCATCCCCACCATTCTTACTTCTTCCATTCATTTTACGTCATCTTTCTGCCATCCCTCCACCATCCTTCCACCATTCTTACTTCTTCCATTCATTTTTCATCATCTTTCTGCCATCCCTCCACCATCCTTCCACCATTCTTACTTCTCCATCCATTCTCCATCCTCCACCATCCTTCCACCATTCTTACTTCTTCCATTCATTTTACATCATCTTTCTGCCATCCCTCCACCATCCTTCCACCATTCTGCCATTCTTACTTCTTCCATTCATTTTACATCGTCTTTCTGCCATCCCTCCACCATCCTTCCACCATTCTTACTTCTTCCATTCATTTTACATCATCTTTCTGCCATCCATCCACCATTCTTACTTCTTCCATTCATTTTACATCATCTTTCTGCCATCCCTCCACCATCCTTCCACCATTCTGCCATTCTTACTTCTTCCATTCATTTTACGTCATCTTTCTGCCATCCCTCATCCTTCCACCATTCTTACTTCTTCCATTCATTTTACATCATCTTTCTGCCATCCCTCCACCATCCTTCCACCATTCTTACTTCTTCCATTCATTTTACATCATCTTTCTGCCATTCCACCATCCTTTCCACCATTCTCCATTCTTCTTCCATTCATTTTACGTCATCTTTCTGCCATCCCTCCACCATCCTTCCACCATTCTTACTTCTTCCATTCATTTTACATCATCTTTCTGCCATCCCTCCACCATCCTTCCACCATTCTGCCATTCTTACTTCTTCCATTCATTTTACATCGTCTTTTCTGCCATCCACCATCCTTCCACCATTCTTACTTCTTCCATTCATTTTACATCATCTTTCTGCCATCCATCCACCATTCTTACTTCTTCCATTCATTTTACATCATCTTTCTGCCATCCCTCCACCATCCTTCCACCACCATTCTTACTTCTTCCATTCATTTTACATCATCTTTCTGCCATCCTCATCCTTCCACCATTCCTTCCACCATTCTTTCTGCCACCATTCCACCATTCTACTTCTTCCATTCATTTTACATCAGCATCCCTCCACCATCCTTCATTCCATTCTTACTTCTTCCATCATTTTACATCGTCTTTCTGCCATTCTTCATTCTTTTCTCCATTCATTTTACATCATCTTTCTGCCATCCATCCACCATTCTTACTTCTTCCATTCATTTTACATCATCTTTCTGCCATCCCTCCACCATCCTTCCACCACCATTCTTACTTCTTCCATTCATTTTACATCATCTTTCTGCCATCCCTCCACCATCCTTCCACCATTCTTACTTCTTCCATTCATTTTACATCATCTTTCTGCCATCCCTCCACCATCCTTTCCACCATCTTACTTCTTCCATTCATTTTACATCATCTTTCTGCCATCCCTCCACCATCCTTCACCTCTGCCATTCTTACTTCCTCCATTCATTTTACATTCTTTCTGCCATCTCCACCATCCCACCACCATTCTTACTTCCTCCATTCATTTTACGTCATCTTTCTGCCATCCCTCCACCATCCTTCCACCACTCTGCCATTCTTTTACCATTCCCCCATCCTTACATTACTCCACCACTCTGCCTTTCATTCTACACCATCATTCTACCATCCCTTCACCATTTTTCCATTCTTCCACCACTCTGCCATTCCTTTACCATCAGTCTATCACCTCTCCGCCATTCATTCCTTTACCATTCTGCCATAAGTCCATCCCTCTGCCATCCTGCCCCCACAGAATTCCCTTGCCATCCCTCCATCACAAACCCATCTTGGTATTTCTCCGGCAGACCATCACATACCGTTATGCCATACCTCTACCACAGTACCACCCTTTCGCACATACAAGCAAGCAACAGCACACACACGTACAAGCACAACACACACACACACACACGTACTACACAAATGCAACATACACACACACACACACACACACACACACACACACACACACACACACGTACAAGCACACATACACATGCACACACGTATGCAAATACACATACACACACACACACACACACACACACACACACACACACACACACACACACACACACACACACACACGTACGTACAAGCACACACACAAATGCAAATACACATACATTCACATACAACACCACACACACACACACACACACACACACACACACACACACACACACACATACACATACGTACAAGCACACATACACAAATGCAAATAACATATTTTGACATACACACAAACAAAACAAACAATCACACGCTAAGCAAAAATCCACAAACCAAATCGAAGATGAAAGTTTTTTTTTATTATTCATTCATCTATCTATTTTTGTCTGTTTTTTCTTTTTAATATCTTATTTTCAGAACAAGAGAAAAGAGAAAAACAGAAGGAATAATAATAAAATAAAATAAAACAAAAGGGAGAGGCAGTATACAACTGCTTTATATTCATCTATTTATCTATTTTCGTCTATTCATTCTCGTATCTAACTTAGTTTCAGAAAAAAAGAAAAACAAAAGGAATATAAAAATAAAAGGAAGAGGAAGTATACAACTGCATTTTATTAAAAATATAGACCTATACACATCTAAAGATTATAGCATATTTTGTTATTCAATAAATAGCATATAATATAGAGGACTTTGTGATAACGACCAGCCGCGTCTATGCTGCCCAAAAAGTCATGATGTGACGACCAAAACAAAATAATTCCAATCATTTTATTAAATTAATTCTTTTGATTGCCTGGCCACCACAAAAGTAATAAGTACTTTCGCTCTGTTAATAAGCTTCTGGATCTTTCCAAGGAGCTTCATTTAAGTACGGTAAGAACGGTAAACAAAATGCAAGAGAAAAAGAGAGAATGATTTTCAGGATAAATTCACGGTAACGAAATCTGCTGAATGGAGAGAAACTTCGAAGCACTTTTTTGAGTTAAGAGAACAAGCGAAAAACATGTTTATTTACGTCTGTGTGTGTGCTTATTGATATGTATACAGGTAGACAGGTAGATAGACATAAACACACATTACATAGTGTATAAGTATGCGCGCGTGTGTGTGTATGTGTATATATATGTATATATATATGAATATATATATACATACATCTGATATATATATATATATATATATATATATATATATATATATATATATATATATATATATATGTTATATATATACATATATATACATGAATGTATATACATATATATATGTATGTATGTGTACATATCTATATATACACACACGCGCACACAAATCTGTTGATAGATAGATATAGAAAGTTGCATGTTTCTTTTCTGTTTGTCTCTGTCTCATAATCTGTGTTCTGATTCTATATTTATGAAATTATGAGCTGAACTAAAATATGAATTTAAATAAACAGATTTCTATTTGACTCTCATTCAGATATAGAATTTCTTTACATTTTGATTCAAACTGTAGATAAAAATAACTTTCCTGTGTGTAACAAATCTCTTCTCTTTTTCTTTTTTCAGACTTTGTTTAATTCTTTCATCTGACACTCACAGACATTATTATCGTCTGTTCCACTTTACTTCCGAACATCTTCTAGTCACCCCTAACCTCTATCAAAATTCCCGTTTTCTCTTTCCTCTTCACCTCCCGTTTTCTCTTTCCTCTTCACTCCGTTTTCTACACGAAACTTCTTCTTCCGACACAAACTCGTAAGAAAGTCGTGTCTTTTCGTTCGTTTTCCGTTCGTGAAGTGGAGGTTTTCGTGAGCGAAGAAATTCATCAAATGAACGATGAACAGAGGGAGGTTTATCATCTGAGCGAACGGAAAGGGCAGATACGAAGGTACAAGATGCAGGGCCTTTTCTTCTGCGTTATGGAGGGCGCGTCAGCTTCTGGAGGGAGGAAGGAAAGAAAAAAAAAAAACGAAATAAGACGAAATAAAAGAAAAAGGTGCAAACAAAAATTAAATAAAACTAAATAGAAGGAAATGGAGTAAGATGAAATTAAAGAAAATGAAGTTAAAGAAAACGGAGGAAGATGAAATATAAGAAAATGGAATAAAAGAAAACGGAGTAAGAGTAAATAAGAGAAAATGGAGAAAGAAGAAATAAAAGAAAATGGAGTAAGAGGGAATAAGAGAAAATGGAGTAAAAGAAAACAAAGGAAGACGACATCAAAAACGGAAAAAGTGCAAAGGAAGGAAATATGAGAAAGTGGAATAAAAGACGAAATCTAAAACAGGAAATAATTAAGAAGTAAGAAGGAAACAACTAAGTAAACAAGCAAATGAAATAAATGGAAACGAAATAGAAAAAAGAGAAAATTGAATAAAGAAGTAAGTAAATAAACAATTCGATAATCTGATTAGAAATGAGATTGTAAGAAAGAAAGAAAATGAGAGTTAAAATTATAGATCAAAATCACAATAAAAAAAACTAAAATTAGAATTAAGAAAATGGATAATAATGTAACAAAGCAACCGCCAAAATTTTAGAAACAGAATCCAACGAAAACAAAATAAGTGGAAAGTCGCCTGAATCAATAAAAAACAACAAAGAACTGAAGACTAGTAATAAGAAAAGGAAAAAAAAAATCAAAAGAGAGCTTTGAAAAGAAGGACCTTTCACCATCCGTCAAGCCTCCCCCCCTCCCCCCCCCCCCTCAATATTCTACCGCGATCTTAATATATCTTGATTTTTTTTTTCCTTTCCTTTCTTCGTTCCTTTGTTTTCTTTCTCTTTCTCTCTTTTAGAATATAGTAATCCACGAATTGGGCCACCAGGTACGTCGTGTGGGCGGCTGCGTGCTCCAGTGACCGCGAGAAGAACGTCGTCTAACAGAAGCCGAGGCCGAGAACCAACAAGCCGGAGCAGACACGAGAGGTTCAGCCGAACGAGCAATGTTGTCGAAGAGAGGAAACAAAGATTCGTGGAATGGCGAGCGACAAAGGTGCAGAGAACGGAGATGGAGATCATCCGGCTTGCTGACACTCGGGAATATTTCCAAAGCGTGACAGCCAGTGGCATTCTCTGAGACGGCACTTTTCATCGACGAGCAATGGTGTCAGTATGATGCTTTGTTGAAAAAGAATCGAGCGCAGCAACCTGTGGGAGCAAGCGCTGAGTCGTGGTGTGGACGGAGCCCTGCCCAGAGAACGTCTTAAGTGGCAGCGGAAGGCATTCTCGTGGTGGCGCTGGTATCGGAACAGCCTGAGCGTAGACGCCCTTTAGGAAGCTATGGGTCTGCAGACGAAAATGCCCTCGAGGCGCCAGTGATTCGTCCGCGCGTCTTCATAGTTCACGTCCTGGTCCTGCTCGGCTGCGTGCTCGTCCAGACGTCCACGGAGCTTTCGTCTGGATCTACGGGGGTCCAGGTAGGCGGGGCCATCTACGGCATTCTGAGGCAGCTGATACCCGTGTTGAAGAGCTCCTAGATTTTGACTGGAGCCACGGTGTCCAGGAAGGAGGCGCCCATCCTCTGCATCCTGCGAGCTGCATTGGCGAGTTCCTGGGCCTTCGCTGGATATATGGGCATCCTGTCCAACCAGTCCAGTACAGAATCTCTCTATCTATGCCAAATGGAAGCTGTTATTCCCGACTTGTTCCTCCGTGCGAGGGACAGACTTGAAATCTAGGGGGCGCTACCCAGTTATAGGAGTAACTCCCTTGAGTCACTACACTATAACCTCTGTCTTCCTTTAAGAGCGTCAATATGAAAGCACTGATGAAACTCGTGGTTATAGAAGTGAGTTGCCGTACGATACCAGCCTCACCTTTTGCTACCATTTCATGGCTGTTACAACTGCTACCACGGCCACTAGTACTAATACAAAAACAGTAACAATTACTTTACAACTTCTACATCTCAAAAATGTATGGCCTCTAATCCTCCCCGGCAACTACAACAGGTATATTACGGCTGAGCTTGTGTTATACTATGGAAGTACAACTATTTCTAACGCAATTTCTAATACAACAACAACAACGACTGCTACAAGAACACAACGACAACATCTGCTTCAACCAAAACAGCAGCTACAACAACAACAACGACTGCTACCCCCCACCCCCCACCCCATTCCCCCGGTCTCCCAAGCGTCCTGGATCCCCGGCGACTCACCTCTCTTGGGTCTGGGTTCGCCGAAGGGCAGCTCGGGGAGGCGGGCTTGAGGGACGCCCCCGCGCCGGCGCCGCCCCGCTGCCGCCGCTGAGGGGTCGGTGGTCCCCCTCCACGCCCTCCTGGAAGCTCCTCCACACGTCGTAGGGGCTGCTGGAGGACGGGGGAGGCACGTGACCGCCCACCACCAGCGGGAAGGAGCGCAGGATCTGCTGCAGGTTTTTGGTGCTGTCGAGGGACGCCTTCTGCGGGAGGGAGGGAGAATAAGGAGCTTAGTCGCGCGGAGGATTTGGCGGTCGACTCTTACATTTAGAGAGAGAGAGAGAGAGAGAGAGAGAGAGAGAGAGAGAGATTAGGTATCGGGAGGATAAAACTTTCGTCTTTATGCATTTTACATCAACATGTAACGCTGCCTCAAGGGAGAGTAAAGGAAATAAGTAAATAAATAAATGAATATATACATACATATATAATATATATATATATATATATATATATAATATATATATAGTATAGAGAGAGAGAGAGAGAGAGAGAGAGAGAGAGAGGAGAGAGAGAGACAGAGAGAGAAACATGCAGGGAAATGAGGGAAGTTGAGGAAGAGAGAAAGAGAAGATAAAACACGATAATAAATTCAATCTTAGGAAGTTGTCTCCGTTATACCATAATATGAACTAGAAATTGCAGAAAATGGCTATCCAATGTCCCTTTCCTCCCCCCCCCCCCTCCCCCTTCTCTCCTCTCTCTCTCTTCCTTCCCTTCCTCCCTCCATCTCTCTTTCTCTCTCTCCCTCTCTCTCTCTGTATCAATCTCTATCTATCATTTATCAATTCATTTAGCCCTCCTTCCTCCTCCCTCATCCTCTCCTTCCTCCTGCCACCCTGCCCTCGTTACCCCCCCCCTCCCGCTTTCCTTTACTATGCATACAAGTTAAATATTCACAAGTTCCCCGTAAACCACATTCCGTGGCGAAGGCGGAGCAGGAGGAGGGATAATGCGAAGAATAAATAGAAGGAAGGAATTAGAGAGAGAGAGAGAGAGAGAGAGAGAGAGAGAGAAGAGAGAGAGAGAGGAGAGAGAGAGAGAGAGAGAGAGAGAGAGAGAGAGAGAGAGAGAGAGAGAAGAGAGAGAGAGAGAGAGAGAGACAGAGACAGAGATTGAGACAGCAGAGAGAGGCAAAAGGAAAACAGAAGAGAGAGAATAAATAGGCAACAAACAGAATGAATGAAAGGAAAACGAAGACAGAGTTGAAAAAGGAGGAAGAGAAGACGACATATAAAAAAGAAAAAAAAAAGGAGGTAAAGATAATGAAGAAGGCAAATCAGAAAGAAGAATAAATAAAGAAGACAAGAATTCAATCAAGGAAGAAAGAGGAAAAAAAAAGCAAAAGGTAAAGAAGAAAGAAGATAAACAACAAAAAAGAGGAAGTGGAAAAGGAAAAAAAAAAGAAGAAAAAAGACAAGAAAGAATAAGAAGGAAAGAAAAGAAAAAAATAGGAAGAAGAAAAAGGGGAAAAAATAAGAAAGTGGAAAAGAAGAAGAAAGAAAGAAAAAAAGGAGGAAGAAAGAAGAAAAAAAAGAAGGAGAATTTTTTTTAAAATCAAGAAAGACCAGAATGAGAGAAAAGAAAGAAGGAAAAGAAGACAGAAAGAGGAAGAAGAAGAATTTGAAGACAGCTTTTTAATTGACACTTGTAAGAGAACACGGACGGGGGGGGGGGGGGGGTAAGAAAATAAGAATAATAGAATAAAGATAAACAGAGAGATAAAAGGAGGCGGATGAATTGTGGGAAGAGCAAGATGAGATAATCAGGTAGGGAGAGAGGAAGAAGGGGGAAAATGAAGAGAATAAGAAGAAAGAAGAAATAATAAGAAAAAAAATGATAGAGATAATAGAAGATGAAAGAGATGAATGAGGATTAAGAAAATAAGGAATAAAGGATAAAGCGATAGGGAGATGAAGGAGACGGATGAATTGTGGGAAGAGCAGGATGAGATAATCAGGTAGAGAGGAAGGAATGTGCAAGGAAGATTAAGAAAAAAAAATGGATAGAGAGAGAGAGAGGGAGACGGAGTAATTGAGGCATAGGAAGACGAAAATGAAGAAAAAGAGGGAAAATAAAGACAGGAAGAGTGGAGGAAAAGGATGCCATTATCTCCTATTTTCCTTATCAATATCGTTATCATTTTATAATCTACAATCTTCTTATTGGCATTTTTATAGGTCTTCCGTCGGCAACTAACCACAGAGACACAGCATTAAATAATTTTAAAATTATACAGGATGAATTAAGATTTTCAAAAAGGATTTATGAGAGAGTTAAGTAAAAAAAAAAAAAAAAAAAAAAAAAAATATCGATTCTCCTTCTCTTCCTCCCCCCCCCCTGGACCTCC